AATGTTCCACTTCACGAACGTTTATTCGATTTTCTAATCATTAATGTGGTCAAATCAACGTTTGCTTTCAACTGCAGTGACAGGAAATTTTGAAAAGCAGGAAGGAGAATTTTTTCAAATTAATTTCTAAACAAGTATGGAGTTCCCCCTGCTGTCATTCAAATCCCGTGACGAGGGAGCAGGGGGAGGGCTGAGCCTTGCGGTCTGTGTCTATAGAAGCAGACAGCAGAGCTCAGAAGGTTTGCTACAATAAGAATCAGCTTCTCGTGGTGCAAGAAGAGGAGGAGCCAGGAGCGCCTGCAAGAGACCCTGAGAAGAGGAGGATCTGGACCGCTCTGTGCAATTCAATTGCACACAGTAAGTATAACATGTTTGTAATTTTAAAGAAGAAAAAAAAAAAAAAGGAGCTTTTACAGGATAAGTTCACTGTAAAATTATTATTATACAGGATTTATATAGCGCTAACAGTTTGCTCAGCGCTTTACAATATAACGGGAGACAATACAGCAACAATACAGTTCAATACAAGAGTGTTAGGAGGGCCTGATCCTGGGAGCTTACAATCTAAGAGGGAGGGGCTGGTGGTACAAAAGGTAATAACTGTGGGGGATGAACTGATAGAAGAAATAGAGGTTTTGGTTATCAGCTGAAGGCAGGATAGGCTTACCTGAAGAGATAATTTTCAGAGATCGCCTAAAAGTGGGCAGAGTAGGTGAGTCTGATAAGACTGGGGTAGAAAGTTCCAGAGCATGGGGGAGGCTCTGGAGAAGTCCTGGAGACTAGCGTGGGAGGAGGAGACAAGGGAGCTAGGCAGCAGGAGGACGCGCAAGGAGCGGAGAGGACGGTTTGGGTGATATTTGGAGACAAGATTGGTGATGTAATTTGGGGCAGAGTTATAAATGGCTTTATACGTTATTGTTAATGTTTTGAATTTTATTTATTGGGCAATGGGAAGCCAGTGGAGGGATTGGCAGAGAGGGATGGCAGACATGGAATGGTTAGTAAGGTGGATGAGTCTGGCAGCAGCATTCAGGATAGACTGAAGAGGGGATAGCCTGCGATTAGGTAGGCCAACGAGGAGGGAGTTACAATAGTCATTGCGAGAGATAACAAGGGAGTGAATAAGTTGCTTAGTGGTTTCAGTGGTTAAAAATGGGCTTATCTTGGAGATGTTGAAATCTACAAGATTTGGACAGTGATTGGATTTGGGGCTGAAAGGACAGATGGGAGTCTAGGATTACACCTAGTACCCTGGCATGAGGGGACCGGCTGATGGTTGTAATATTAATCTTGATGGAGAAGTCAGGGGAGGGGGCACGGGCTGGAGGGAATAGTATGAGCTCTGTTTTGGAAAGATTTAGTTTGAGGAAGTGGAGTTATATCCATGCTGATATGTCACTTAGTAGGTTATTAATGTGAGAGGAGACTAAAGGGGTGAGGTGAGGAGTAGAAAGAGATTTGTGTGTTATCAGCATAGAGATGGTACTTAAAGCCAAGGGAGTTTATCAAGTGACCAAGGGAGGAGGTGTAGATGGAGAAGAGAAGGGGTCCAAGGACAAAAATTTTTTTTGAGGAGGAGGGGATGGTCAACAGTATCAAAAGCCACAGAGAGGTCAAGTAGTAAGAGCATGGAGTAATGGCCATTGGTTTTAGCTGTTAGCAAATCATTAGTGAGTTTTAGTAGGGCAGTTTCAGTGGAGTGGAGTGAGCGAAAGTCAGACTGTAAGGGGCCAAGAAGGTTGTGGTCTGTGAGGTAGGAGATCAAGCGACTGTAGACTAAGCGTTCTAGGAGTTTAGAGGTAAACTGGAGCAGGGAGATGGGTCTTAAGTTGTTCAGGTTGGTGGGGTCCAGTGAGGGCTTTTTAAGTATGGGGGTGATCAGCGCATACTTTAGAATAGAGGAGAAGGTGTTAGTAGAGAGGGAGAGATTGAAGATGTGAGTGAGGGAGCATAGGATAGAAGAAGAGAGTGACCATAGTTGAGAGGGGACAGGATTAGGGGGGCAGGTGGTGAGACGGGCTTCTGAGAAAACTTTAGAGACCTCTTCAGTTAGCAAGGTCAAAAGAGGAAAGTGTTGAGGGAGGTTTAGTATACAGTATGCTAAGTGGGATAGATGTCTGTGCAGTGGAGATGCCCCCACAAATTGCATCAATCTATTTTAAATGATTGGTAACCTTGTGAGTTACCGGGTGGGGGTGGTGGAGAAAGTAAAGAGTTAAAAGTAGAGAAGAGACGACGAGGACTGGATGACAAGCTATTAATAAGAGTGACAAAGTAGGCTTGTTTGGCAGCATGAAGGGAGGAATTGTATTTCAAGAAAGATTTATATAGGGTGAAGGCTTGCTGGGATTTGGTTTTACGCCACAATCGCTCCAGTGCACAGCTATGTCTCTTAAAATTTCCGGTATTGTCAGTCTGCCAAGGTTGTAATGGTCGGGGCCTGAAACTTCATGTAGTTAGAGGAGCAAGTGAGTCTAGTGTGGATGAAAGCGAACGGTTGTAGACAGCAGTGGCCAAGTCAGGGCAGGACAGGGGAGAGATTCTGTCATAGAGGTGGTCAGTTGCAAAGTAGAAAACAGAAGGGGTAAAGTTTCTGCGGGTGATTGTTTGCTGCTTGGAGGGATAGGTGAAGGTGATGAGATTGTGATCAGAGAGGAAAGGGGGTATTTGTAAGGTTGTAGGGAGTGCAAAGATGGGAGAAAACAAGGTCTAATGTATTCCCATCAGAGTGAGTGGAGGACTGTGTCCATTGTGTTAAGGCAAAAGATAAGGTTAGGTTGAAGAGTTGGGATGTAGCCGGGTTGTTAACATTAATGGGGATATTAAAATCACCAAGAATGATAGTGGGTATTTCAAAAGGAGAGGTAGCCAGGCAGAGAAGACAAGAAAGCGCAACACCGGTCAAGGAGGACGATAGATCACTGCAATCCTCAGAGAAATAGGAGAAAACAGCCGAATGCAGTGAGTCTCGAAAGAAGAGAAGGATAGAGAGGGAGGGGTAGGAAGGACCTGAAAGGTGCTCAGTGGGGATAGAAGCAAACCAACTCCAACTCCTCTCCGACCATTGGGTCTGCGCAAGTGAGTCCAGTGGAGGCCTCCATGGGAAAGTGCTGTGGGAGAAGCAGACTCTGATGCTTGAAGTCAGGTTTTCTGTAATTGCTAGTAGGTTAAGGGAGCGGGAGACAAAAAGGTCATGGACAGAGGTGAGCTTGTTACAGACAGAGCGGGCATTCCAGAGTGCAAGAGTGAAAAAGGGAGGGTGGTTTTTAGGAGCAGGGGGATTGATATTAAATTGAGTGGATTGCGGCTATTCCTGGAGGAAGGAGGGTGCCTGATGTGGGGGTGAGATACTGGAGAACCAGGGTTCGGGGAGATATTAGGAGGGTGAGGAAAGTAAGATGGGAGCGGGATGTAAATGAGTGCACATGCCTTCCTGTCCTGGTATTTGGGTTAGCAGGTGGATTGACAGGAGGTGATGAGAGCAGTAGTATGGAGATGGCAGACGTGAGGGTGATATGTATAAGCTTTGGGGTGGAGCAGAGGGATAAAGAAATTAGATTTTGAGAACAAAGTATACAGATATGAAAAGGAGGCGCAGAGGGGGCATATTAAAAGGTCGATAGAGGGGGAATCAGACTTGTTAGAGATGTTTCCCAGGTTGTTTTGCTTGAAGTCCATCCAGAGTACAGTAGAGTTCTTTGTTGTATCTTCTTGCTGCTTTAGTTATCCTGCTGTGTTCAACTGCTGCTTCGCACTCCACCAGAAAATGCACTCAAGCCGGAAAATGCCCTGTAACTGTGCCCCCCATCTGTGACTTGCCCATTGCTTTTTTTTTTTTTTTTTGTAAAGCATTGAACCAATGATCAGCAGAGTATGTGCAGAAAGTTTTACACTGACTGAAAGACTGATTGAACTACCACAGCACCGTGGTAGTTCATTGAGAACTACAAGCCCACATCTGAAAAGGATGTTGGCACTTGTAGTTCATGAATTCACAGAACTCTGAATGAATGACACGGCCGAGTGGACGGAACCCTGCACACTCACGCCGTTTTCAAAAAAGTGACAACAGGTACAGGGAACTTCTCCCCTTACTGCTGTCACAGGGAGAGGGCAGGGGGTGCAGCAGTGGGAACATGTACCCTGTTCCCAAAGGTGAACTTGTCCTTGTGCTTCTGTGGGCTCTAGTGGTCATTGTCCAGAAGATTGATCGAAATGATACAGTGTTTTGGGAGCTGGCAAGCTGGTTGTCATGAGAAGGAAATTAAGTGATGTTGTTTTGGATGCGGTCACTTACTGACCACAGCTGTTGTGATCTACCAGTGAGCCTTTATATAATGTGAGAATACGTGCACATAGAAGCAAGACACTGGCACATAAATGCAGTTTGCCAACTTCCTAAAATTCTGTTTTATTGAGGAACTACCAGTAACATTTATAGGTCTCATGATGCAGGCAAAGCATATACATTGATTGGGTGAAAAGTCCACTGGGTTTCTGCGTGTTCTTCCATCCGTGTTGATATCTTCCAATCATTGTCCCGAAAACGACTCATTCCCTTTTATGGGGGTTGTTTACGTTAAAAGATACTTTTCTTCTAATGAGTCACCTAGGGTGAGACTCTGGATGAAGGCGCCATCTTAATTATCATTGTTCTGTCAACTTATATCTGATTGTTTACTTAAGAGAGGAAGGAATTTAAAGAGAAGGAAGCAGAAAGTAGCAAGACTATAAAATTGTCATTTTACTGATCATCTAATAAAACGTGGACTGTCTATCACAATCCACTACAATGTATTACAAAAAAGCCAGTGGTGGGGAAAGGGCGGGTTTATGACTAGGGCTATGTGATCGGTGGTAAGACACCTACAGAAGTACCGTGGCAGTGTAACTAGAAGGTATACGTGGCAACTTTCAACAGTACAGGTGGCACATTTAGCCTATGACAGTGCTACACTGCCGACCAAAGCTTAGAAAGACTAGAAGAAAAGCAGGCTCACCTTTTCTGGGTCCACCTTATCGTACAGTTTCAATACATATAAAACTCGTTCTGCAATGCCTTCCAAGGTTAGGGGAGGCATATCGCTGTACTGACGACATGACTGAAATAAGTAACCGGAGACCTGAATAGAGACAAAAGTGTGAGAAAGAGAGGTAACTATGTATATTAACACACACAAAAAAAAAAGCAAGCCAACAGTTACCATAAAAAAAATGCTCCATACACTTTACTATGGCTCTGCTCCACAGACAAAGAGGCACCCAGATCTTACACCAGGCCATAACTGGCCATGTGTCAACCACTTGACCTCCAGAAGATTTGATCTCCTACAAGACAAGGGCATGTTTTGCTATTCAGCACTACACTACAGTACTTTAACTGGCAATTGCACAGTCATGCAAAACTGTACCCAAATGAAATGCATATAATTTTTTTCACACATACAGATGTTTCTTTTGGTAGTATTTGTTCACAACTGGATTTTTTATTATATAAAAAGAAAAAAAGATCGAACATTTTGAATTTCCTCCTAGATTGTAAGCTTGAAAGAGCAGGGCCCTCGAACCCCTCGTGTATTGTATTGTTACTGTATTGTGTCATGTTCTGTCCCCCACTATAATGTACAGCGCTGAGCAAACCTTTTGGCGCTATATAAATACTGTATAATAATTTAAAAAAGGCGATATTTTCTATTTTCTGTTATAAAAACATATTCAATTTAAAAAAAAATAAAAATTCTTCATAGAATTTAGGCCAAAGGAACTCTGCTACATGTCTTTGGTTAAAAAAAAAAAAAAAAAAGAAAAAAAAAAAAAAAAGCCCAATAAGTGTATAGTAACTGGTTTGTGCCAAAGTTATGGCATCTACAAACTATGGTATATATACTGGAATTTCTGCAGCTATGGCACTATACTGGTAATGGAACTGATCAGTGACTTATATTGGGACTGTGTTGGTGTGGCGGGCAATCTGGTGCTTGCTGACACTGGCTGGGAGGTACACCAACACTGATACAGTGATCAGTGCTAGTATTGAACAGTCACTGTACTAACGACACTTGATTAGAAGGGGTTAACATTTAGTGGCAAAGGCTGACTGTGTGCCTAACAAGTGTAAAGTGTGTGATATGTCTGCTTTTACTAAGAGATTTGGCTGTTGTGTGCAGAGCTCTGTGTTGTTTGTAAACACAGAGCTCTATGCTGTGATTAGATACAGCCGATCAGCAGGTTCTGGACATAATTGACCGAGACCTGCTGACAAAATCCCACTGTGTCCAAATGCAGTGCGGGGCAGCAGGGGGCATGCACGCCCCAAACCCAGAAGCAGGCTCGGAACATTTATTTAAAGCAAAGTTACGCCCAATAATGGAAGCTCCACCTATTTGCCACCTCCACTGAGGCATTTGGTACCTTTTGGAGGGGGGGGGGGGGGGGGGGGAGCAGGTACCTTGCTTTGAGCAGCGAACTGAGCCGGAAGTTTGGCTCCCCTCCTTCCCCCCGCAGCCCTCTGGGACATTTCAGTGGACTGCGGCCCATTCTCAAAGCGCAACGCGATTCGCGCATGCACAGTAGGAGCCAGCTGAGAAGCTGCAAGGCTTCACTGCCAGTTTCCCTTAGTGAAGATGGTGGCACCAGCACCCGACAGCCAATTGAAGAATCGGCTTGGCTGAGGACAGCACTGGATCCCTGGACAGACAAGTGCCCAAATATTAAAAGTCAGCAGCTACAGTATTCAGCCCCAGGCCAATTCTGACACTTCTCACATACATGCACAAATCAGAAAATCAGTGGGGGTTTTTTTTTACTAGAAAATTACTTAAAACCCTCAAATATGATATATTTTTTAAGATGAAGCCCTAAGGAATAAAATGTAGAGTGTTGCATATTATTATGTGATATGATATTTGCACAGTGGTTTAGCAAGAGCAAAAAAATGGCCCACCATATATGTGCTATTGTTCCTTCTGTAGTGACTTTTGAAATTATGTATCAAAAACATGACGTTATTTCAACAACAACCCAACCTAGCCGCCCGTTAAGGGTTAACTTGTCTTGGTTGAAAATTCAAAGGACCCTCCAGTTAAGAAATGTAAATAATGGGTGAAGTGAGCTTTTTCCAAGACAATAGACTGTTTGACTGTCAACAGGTAGTTTAAGACCGGACAATTGTAAGGTTTAAATTGGAGACTGTGGAAATAGCTAAAGTGTGGGATGTCAACAAATACTGTTTATATATTGGGGTTGAGTGGAAGACGTCTACAAAAGTTAAATAGACAGCCAAATAGGACTTCGACCTTCAAATATTAAGTCATAACACATGAACAATAATGAGACGGAAAATCAACTGGTTGAAAGTTTGCCCAGAACCTTGCAGAGTGTGATGAACCAACAAACCTCTCGAACTATCACAATATGCTATTATCCACTAAGGTGGAAAGTATAAATGGCTGTTTACCCTGACTCCAACACAATAGCCAGGTAAACAGAGGGTCTTTCCTACCCATGGGAATGTTTGGTTCTAAAACAAAAAGGTTAAATTCAGGACATATAAGGCTAAGATTGGATATATCTACCCACAGAGATATTACCAAAAAGCATAGTATCAATGGATGTTATAAAGAATATGTTTCACACACACACAAAATATTCAGCAGAACGGGGATTGTATATCACTAACTTGAGTATTGAGATGAGGAAAAGTAAGATATATTGTGAATTAGCATCAGTTGTATGTTGTATCAGAAAACAAATGCTTTCCCACAAGTTTGTATCTCAGGGAAATGAATAACCGAATATACACATATATTCCTATTTAGAACATTATAGCTATGATCACCTATATATCTGGATAAGACGTATATTTAATACCTGAAATCACCTTGAGTTCCACCCGAGGTGTGAGTCATCATCGGGGGGGGGGGGGGGGGGGGGGGGGGAGGGGGGGGGGGGGGGGGTGAATACTCAAATTGTCCTATGGTACATGACTGCCATCTGGCGGACAGGTGAGAAATAGCTTATGTACATACATTTCTCAACCAGCCAATCAAAAAGCCTGGTGGGAGGGTCTCTTTGAAGAATAGTTTAAATGGTATAAAAACCCATGCACCTCATGTAGAAAAAAAAAAGCTCATTAAAAAAAAAACCTCATTGAAAAGGGAACAACTGACTGAAGAACCTGACTGAAAACTGACTGAAGATATCTGAAGAGGCTGAAATCCATCTCTGCTGTCTATCAACTCTTCCATCCTTTCAAACTTTTAAAAACATTCTCCTAAACTTCTAAAATCTCTGTACCTCTAACTTCCTATATTTTCCTGCACTATAGAACTATATCTCACTTTCCCCTGTGGTCATCATTCTGAAGGCGTTCCATTGCCAGCTGGATCCACTGGGAGGTGTCATATTCCTAGATCTGGGTGTGGTGAGACTGTCCATTTAATTTTGTATTGAATATTTTCTCTGTGTGTAGAGTAACAAGAATTACCTTAGAGTAAGAACAGCTGTATTGGGTGTTATATATATATATATATATATATAGATAGAGGGATCCCGTATTACTGTTAGATATTGTTGGTGTCATATTACAAATTTTTCATATTTTATAAATTATTAAAAATTCGTAATTAGAGTATAATTTATCAGAGAATATCTTCTTCCAATCCTATGGCCACGTTTTGTGAGAAAATAACCTCTGAGATACTCTAAATTAGTTATTAATAAATTTAATTTTTAATCATCATTTAGAAGATTGTGATATTGTTTCCCATTATTTAGAAACATTATATTGTGTATGATATTGGTAGGGTATATCTTTGATCGTGTGTACCAGTATTCATTCATCACCAGTCTTTTGCGTTTTGTGTTAATATATATATAATTTTTGTACATAAATAAATTTTTATATTTATCTATTATAAGGCAAATTTTGTGTGTATGGTACGAAATCATACTGGCTAAAAGAATTCAAGGTATAATAATAAGTGGTGATCAAATTATCAAGGTGTCCAAATTATTGGTTTACTAAATATTTGCCGTATTTTAACGGCTGGAGGCACTGTAATATTTCATCTAAGGGAAAGGGACACCGCCCTTTATAAGTACAATAAATCCTTACATAAACCACCACACTTCCATTCCACACCCCCTCTAACATAAGGCCCCACATGTACACGGGACCTTTCTGAACGATGGAAACTGACTGCTGGAAAACGTAGGTTAAAAACATCTGTTGCATAACGCGTTTATGTGTGCTTGCATTTAGAAGCGTTTTTTAAAAATAAGCACAGGAGATGCACAGAATGCACTGAAAAGTGGTAAACTAACTATTTCAGACTGTTTCAGAGAAATACAGAGAGTAGAAGCAGAGACAGCAGTATGTGTTGAGATTAGCTTAGGTGTGATTTGCTCATTAACATTTCTTTTGTTTCCAAGGGTGGGAAAGGTGTCTGGTGGAGGGAGTCATTAAGGCCACCTGGCAGGGGGTCTTCATGAGGAATTTGAGGTGTGAATGGTCATTAGCATATCTTGAAAACGCTTTGCATGCATTTTTCATGATGAAAAAAGGCTCTGGACAGTATTGGGTTAAAAGTTACATTTTTGCTAACCCAATTGCTACCCCTTTTGTATAATGAAATGAAAACGAGAAGCGCACCAACCTTGCGCATTACCTCAGTAACCAAAATTTATTAATTGTAAAAAATATACTCACAAAACAGCGAATAAAATCAGGCATGAGGAAGAAGGGACCCCCTTCGAAACGCGTCAGCTGTACTGAACACCCACTCCCCTGATGGGACTCATGTTATCTTCAAGTCCCTGTGAGGACTTACATGCCTGATTTTATTCGCTGTTTGTGAGTATATTTTTTACAATTAATAAATTTTGGTTACTGAGGTAATGCGCAAGGTTGGTGCGCTTCTCGTTTTCATTTCATTCTGCAGTGTTGATTGGGCTTCCCTAGCCTTGTTTTGGAGCCGCACAGCCCTTTATGCATTGGTGGACGATCCCTCCAGGCCTGGTTCCATCTGTTCGCCACCTGTCTGAGCCCTAGAGCGCAGGAGAATTCATCTTTGATTTACCCCTTTTGTATGTTTGATTGGTAAAACCGCATAATATCAAGTTG